TAGAAAGTTGTTTATTTCTGATAGGCAACTGACATCCTATCCCAGAAGAATAGGGGTCAAGTTTGGGAATACATCCTGGAAAAGGACTCCAGTAATATATAACCTAGCTTGTATGGACTAAGACAGAAACTTACTGAAATATTTCTTCACTGAAAAAATCAATGAAGTTCTCAAACTTTTATATATATACTGTATACAGATACGTATTGTATAACATACTGTACGTCATATGTCTTTATAATTATTTTGTGGGGGTAAGCAATCTATGGTTTGAACAGTATCAAAAGCTCCTCCTCTAGACAAAAGGTTCCCAGCAAAAGCTCTACCAAAGCATTTTTGAAGCAATCCGGTTAGACACACTATGACTCAGTACAGGTGTCGACGAGGTAAAAGAGAGCTCCAGTGGACTATCCGCTAGAGGAGCGGCGGTGTCCACAAGCCACGGGGCTGCTGCTCTCGTTCTTCAGCCGCGGCCCTCGGCCCTCAGTCACTCATGCCACACACCCTGCTGGACGAGCTCCTCCAGCAGGCCGCTCCACTCCTCGCGGAACAGGTTGGCTCCAGTCAGGCTGCCGTCCCCTCCGATCACACACAGGTTGGTGATCCCGCGCCGCACCAGGTTGTGGGCGGCCTTCAGGCGGCCCTCGCGGGAACGGAACTCCTTGCAGCGGGCGCTGCCGATGACCGTGCCGCCCTGAGAAGAGACCGGACGCACGCTGCTCACTCCTACTGACCAGGCTTCTCCATTAACACCTCTTCCAATTTAGTTTTGAAGTCTAAATGCTCTTTGAATAACAATGAAATCTCAATTTTTTCATTAAGAGGAGCTTGTGACTATCACTTTTAAGTCCTGCTGTGACAAATCAATCGTGATAGCATTCAAGTTGTCACAATAACACATCCATTAAGATAACACATTCCAAACTATAAAAAGAGCGACTGTATTTGAGTATACATAAAATGTTATTTTTTTATACAGATTTTTTACTAGACATTCAGTGACAGACAACCTTTATAGCAGTTGTATTAACATTACAGTTTATATATAGTACTTTAGGCTTCTTCACATTAACATAAAAAACATGCTTAAAAACTGATTTCTAATTACAAGGCACAGAGGCACAGTGGTTAGCAATGCTGCCTTTCTGCACTCTGGGTCCCTAGGTTCAATTCCAGACCTGGGGTTCTATCTGTGTGGAGTTTGTACGTTCTCCCCGCGTTTGTATGGGTCTTCTCTGGGTGCTCTGGTATCCTTCAGAAGTCCAAACCCATACTGTTAGGTTAATTGGGTTCTGTGAAAATCTTCCCTAGTGTGAATGT